GTTACCAGGATTTGATCAACTGGATCCTATCACGTTCTGGTGTTGCGTCCAGATATTGGGGAGCAAAGACGATTGCACTGAATACATGACGCGATCTGTTCACGAAGGCAGTTTACGCAGTGCAAGATAAAGACATGCATGCGGATAAGAAGCGTCAAGCGAGGAAGCGACAGGCGCCAAAGGGCTGTACTTCATCCAGTGCCAGCACATGTTGCTGTGGCAAATACGGTCTCGAGTGCATGAGTCCGGCAAGCCTAGCGAACCACAAGCCACACCACTCGGAACCAACCTCGAAGTGGAGGCGGGTTCTGCTGCTAAGTAAGTAGAACCGATGCAGCGTTGAAAGTACGCTGCCGAGTTACTAACCGCATGCTTGTATGTTAAGCTTCATTATTTCAGTTACTTGGTTAGATAGCTTGTGCTAATGTTTATTTTTACTTATTTTACTGTAGCTGAATAAAATATTAACTTGCACACGTCGCGTAAGCCAATTGTGGTTAAGTTCTTAACGATTTTCGCAAGAGTGGCGTTAAAAAGTATATTTGTTGACATATTGCAGTTAAAGCAGATTTGTTGATAACCAATTAATTACGTATGTTAACTTGCCGAAGAGCTAAGTGGGCATATCCGTATGTCTTACACGATTTATTTCATGTGCTGTCGTCCTTCCAAGCGATTGGCTGTTGCTTGCTATCCTCGGTGTGGTTGCGTTTGACGTGCCTGTTGACGTGTTGCCTACTTGTCTATTACCCACTACCTCGTCTATACCGGTTCCAGAAGACAGTTGGTCGATGCTGGAGGAGAAGGGTTAATGGTCCTCGTGCTCACGCTTGGCTAGGGGAGACGTTTATGGGTACAGCGGACTACGTCCCAGCCACCGCCATGTGTGCCCTTGATCCCCCAAATGCAGTTTGCTTGTGTTGGCAGTTGCCGGCTTGTGGGCCGGCACCATTGATGTAACGTGGCCCCATTCACATGCCTCACAGTCTTCTACTTTTGGGTTTACACTGGATATGTAGCGGGTGGATGGAGAGGTGTAGTGCAGTGCCAGCCAATCCATGGTCCATCTGTATGCTGGCCCATTGTGGATGTCCCTGTGGAGGCCACCGTGAAAAGCAAATCCGGAAGCGGATGCCACTAACCACGATTAATAGCCCTGCTGAATCAAAATGCGATTTTTTTCGCTGGTTAATCACTGCAGGAAGGGTCAATGGTGTTGCAAGTATAAGGTGGCGCACGTAGTGTGTCAGGTCCTTCGGAAAGGCAAGTGGCAGTGACATTATTTAGTGGCGATTTACTTTCAGCACCTCGCAGAATAGTTCAAAAGACATTGCGGTATTTATAGGGTGGACATTTGCCAGGCTGGTACCCACCACGTCCTGGGACACCTGATATGTCTTCCTGTGTCCACAAAGTGGGGCAATGTACTCATACACTGCCATTATGATTTAGAAGCTGATCACGGAAAGGACTCAATTGTTCAAACCATAGACCATTTATGGTTTTGGCGACGCTTAAGGAAGGGAGGTATACGTTTACTGGTAATTGTCTAAGTCCCAACGTTGTCCTCTTTAAAAACGGACCTGGCATTATTCATACCCATGAAAACCTAGTGTGCGATCATCCAGCCACGTTCTCTTGGTAGGAGGTAACAAAGTGCCTGTTATAGAAGGTCCGCCCTTCCAGGTGATCGAAGTTGCTTGGCTGCAAGATGTAATCGGTGGATCACCACTGCACAACTATGTCAACCAACGCGATTCAAGACAGGTAACAAACAAACCATCTTGTACCTTGTTCCTACCAAGGAGGAACTCACCATCGACGTGGTAACAACCTACACTCTATTGTGCGGCAGTAATCATGTGACACCAGTGTTTCAGCACATGTGTTACCTAAACTATTTTAGTTAACACCGAAGAACCTCAATTCGTGTTCAAATATGACAGACTGTCCGGCGTCATTTGTGCAACCATCCGGTCTTTTCTATCAGGATAGGCCCCCGAATTGGGGCGGGGACATATTGTCGGCAGCTTCAACCTGTTAGTGGTGAGCACATAAGTAATCAAAATCCGCCACTCGAAAAATGAGGTTGTTTTTAGAGAGCGGGGCATGTAATCGAAGGACATCCATGGACTCAGCTTGGCGCGCTCACACAGCTTCTCCAAACAACGACAACACAAATGTTTATACAACAGTGAAACACCATTGCTGTCACCACATCCGAAAGAATAGGGCAATGTACCCACAACACATTGTGATAAGAAGGTATTCTAACCCCAATAAACTATACATACGCGTAAACACCCTTCGTATGGACACAAGTGTCGTGCCCTGCGCACAGCATGATGGCTATCGCCAACCGCACAAAACCGACCAATTGTCTTGGAAAACGTTTATCCGTAACTTCCATAGTGATAAACAACTTTATCTTTTATCCTTCCACCCACGAGTAAACTGAATCAGGTGCTGGTAGTGTGCAAGTACGAGCTCTCTTGGAAAATACGGCATGCGCCCAAACGCGTTAAAGGTGGCTGTCATGAGTTAAGCTGAACCTCCAGCAATATTCTGCAAACTCCAAAGTGATGAGATGCAATATTCCAAAATGTACACGCACAGGATCGTCAACGCAGCCTACAAACGTGAAAGCCATATGGACCCCGAGAATTACCGTCCGCTAATAATAATAATAATAGCATGTATGTCATAAATATTGGACTCCATTTTCGTGAAAACACTCATGAGGTATCTGGAGAGTAACAAAATGTTCACTCCGAAGCAGCACGGATTTCGCCAGTGAGCCCTAAAATACTTAGCTTTTACTGGCTCTTGCATGCTGGACGGAATCAGTGCATGCAAGTATGGGACAAGACGCCGCCTATCAAGAATTATCCAAAGCATTCGACGGTCTGGACCGTGGCATTTTACTTTGAAGCCTCAGCATTTGGAATCAGCGATCCTGTTCAAGTCTGGATAGGCGGTTTTCTCGCACAGATTAATCGGAAAATGAGTGTTCGCAGCCTCCTGTCCGAGACAATCAACCTGTAGCGCTGCGTATCTATGGGATCTGTACATAAGTCTTGCTTGTTCTTTTTCTTTAAAACTGCTCTCTCAAAGGTGACGTCCTCAGCATTCTTAATTCCGTAAATAAACTAAAGATAAGGCGGGACATACGTACAGCGGAGATTACACAGCCCGGTAAGACGAGCTCGGTGAAGTGTACGCATGGTCTATTAAAAATTTATCCGACTAAACGCTGCCAAGTGGGGGTGCATTGTACACACCATCAAAGTACTCATAATTCCTCCCTAGCTCCTCATGAGTGTGATGTTTGCTTACGTGTGTAAGAAGATAAGGGAGGTTTGCGGCAAGCTGAAGAAACATACCGCAAGGCAACTCAGCGCATTGGCCTTTCTCGTAAGGCCTTAGGGATCAAAGAAGCTAAGCTGTTTAAAATACCGTGCCTGTACATGAAGACCTACGTGAATTACCATATACAAACGTGGCTACCCAGGCGGTAGCACCATGTTACTGTGAATGAGACTGTACAACGCAGGATGTTAAAGAACATTAAAAGTTTGTCCCGCGTCCTGTACCCCCTCAAGATGAAACCTATAAGTGCATCGCAGAGGTTATAAATATATAGCTTAATAAGTGTATTTATCTATTCTCGAATTCATCGTAGCACACAAAATCAGACCCGACCAGAATATATCGTGGGCTCTGAGGCAAGCTCATATCGGTGTAGCAGATCATATAAATCCTTAGATACCCTTGACACAATGATTGGTAAGCCGGCAGAAACATACCTCTGGGGTGTCATCAGGTTGATTATAAACTCGAAACAGCGACAGGAATGGTGACGTAACCATTTCCTCTCTAAAACTATCACAAACCTGGAGCTTCCTTTAAGCGGCTTTAATTGGTTCCCTGAATTGTTGCTAAACACAGATCGACGTGCTGATACTCTTATCCAATTACACTATTTGTTATTGTCCAAGACCAGTTTGTGGCATTGGCGTAGAACATGCAGAAGACGGTGTCGTATTCCTCTTCAGCAGCCCCTATGAATACTCACACACAGCGCTTCAAAGCATAGTAAGGTAAGTCGCGCGTATTTTAACGATAATGCGTTTTTCAACTTGACTATCGTACAGGTCTCCTGTGCAATTGGTTTTATATTTCTCCATTACACCATCATCCCGTTTAACTTTTTGGAAGAACCTTGTGGAGCGTCCGAAGAGTGACATTAACTGGACAGTCGCGGGCTCATGATCAGCGCTTTGCAGTCTAGGGGGAGGTGGAACTTTTAGGAGCCGATACCGCAATTACTGATGATATGTACCGTATGCGAAATTTCACGTCAGATGCCGGAGTGCCGCCAAAAAATGCTATACGCTATGGTACACATTCTTCAGAAAGCAACGTAGCTGCAAACACAAGTATACGACAGTTGACCGTCGAAGACTATGAAGAGTAGCCGCAAGCTAGTCCTTGAGCTCAAAGCCAGAAAACGGCTGAAAGCATTCCGCAGTAAAACGGACACTGCGTAAATTGAACATTAAAACTAAAACGAGTTGTCTAAAAACGCCTGCTGGTAACTTTTAATAAAAAGAGTACGAGTGTTTTCATAGTAGTTCATTTCCCTGGTGATTATGAACGCACTGCAGTGGGACGACTGACTGTCCAGAAGGGCAACCGCAAGTAGGCGTATGCATGAACCAGATAACCTAGATATGCCCAAAGATCTCACGCTCTTTGCAACATGGCCATGAATCCACACGTGTTGTCTATTCGCTGACTAAATACACACATCAGAGGGCAAATTATTCGATCATCGCAACACCCAAACGCCATCGAATTTCGCGCCATCAGGTTACAAGACGGGTGTGAAAGTCAACTTAGAAAGCACGTAAATGTTTATCGTATGTTAATATTATGACGGTGAGTGTAGTAGAAGTATGCCACATTAATATGCATGTTTGGTGCACACACAAAGCAGTGTTTTAAACAACCTTCGATGTCCACAAGTCAAGGTCTGTCTTGACGCCGATGGAAGAGTTTGCTAAGGATTATGCACCTTGCAGTGGGGACTATATTGTTGGCGGAAAATGGAAGCTGGTGAGGAAGATTGGGGCCGGGTCGTTTGGCGACATATATCTCGGTCAAAATGTAGCGACGGGAGAGGAAGTAGCGATAAAGTTGGAACTCAACACTGCCCGTCATCCACAACTCTTCTACGAGAGCCGGGTGTACAAAATCCTTCAGGTCTTTTCATTATGCCTCTAACTTTTATTTTTTAGAATGCTATTGGCATTCCCCGTGTGTATTGGTTCGGTACAGATTCTACGGAGAATCGTTATAGGGCAATGGTTATGGATCTTCTTGGCCCTAGCCTCGAGGATCTTTTTACATTTTGCGGCAGGCGTTTCACTATGAAGACCGTCCTCACGCTTGCAGAGCAGATGCTTTGGCGAATCGATTACATCCACAATAAAAGCCTGATACATCGTGATATAAAACCGGACAACTTTCTCATGGGTATCGGCCCCCACTGCAATAGGGTATTTCTCGTTGACTTTGGTCTTGCAAAGAAATACAGGTTTGTTCTTCTTCTGTGTTTGATCTGGTTTGTGAAATAGGGACCATCGCTCAAGGTGCCATATACAGTACAGGGAAGACAAGAATCTAACGGGAACCGCACGCTATGCAAGCATCAATGCGCACGCCGGAATTGAACAGTCCAGAAGAGATGATATCGAATCCCTTGGATACGTATTCATGTATTTTCTGCGCGGCCATCTACCATGGCAGGGGCTTAAGGTGCGTTGAAAGTTCACGAGGTGTATTGTGCTTCATTGTGCGTACGGAGGTATCAGCAGTGCGACAGTAGGCAGTACCGACGCTTCGCTGTCGCGCATCCACCACCAGTCGCTCGTGGATTAAGGGTCGCCCATTCCGTTTCGCAGGCTCGAATCCGCCACCTATTTCTTGCAAAGCTGGCTTATGATCCCTTATGCCACGGACCTGTCCGATGATTAACCTGCACCTCTCTAATATGTTACCTAAGCCCGTTTTTAATTGTTATTTTTCACTGTTATTTTACAGCTATGTCGAGAATCCAGAAGCGGTTTGAGCTAATAAACCTGGCAGATTTTGGGCCGAACATCATGTCTATCTTAACAATTCAAGCCCACGCAGCTATTAGGATTAACATACGTTATCAAAAATTAAGACAAGCAACCGGTTTTTCGGCTTCTACGCCGTAATTCACTGGCGTTCGATATCCCTATTCATTTTCAGTTCAGTACACCTCAGTTGAACGACTGATCCGAGCACCGAAGTATGGTGTATCCGGTTGCCATAACTCACATTGCCAGAATAACCATAAGGAACAGCAAGAAAATGAGGTAAAATGCGAGTGGGGTATGAAGAAAAGCGAATCAATAATGAAGCGTGTTAAGGTGATTAGAATGGAATGAAATTTGTCAGCTAGTTACAAGAAAGCGTATGCAAGTACGCCACTGACTGCGCGTCCGCCGTCTGGTAGGGTCTCCAACCACTACTGTGGATCACCCCGTGGCCCTCGTTTACGAAGATGGCATGTCCCAGTCAGTTTCTTCACGCTTCTATGCTACGTCTTTCGCCGTCGACCTCGCCATCGCAATGATGATGGACCTTACCGTAGTGCGATGGTTTGCGTGCTACAGCGATCCATTGCGCTATGCTGCGTGGTGCTTTTTTGCACCTACAACACTGCTCATACCAGATTGGTCAGTTAGAGGCCAGACCAAACCAGCCTCCTGGTCCTCCAGGTTGGGGGTTAGAATGAGAGTGGCTCCTTATTCCTTAAAACGGACTCCTTGTGCCCGAACGCCAAACCCGCTGCCTTGCGGTCAGGTTTGTGAAGCAAAGGCTTTGGTTGAGAACCCTAATCGTTCTCCTGTCTAGGTCTGGGAAGCCTGACAGTATCCTGCCCACGCAATACTATGAATCTTTCGTCAAGCAATTTCTCGATACTCTGGCCACCGCGGAGGATAATCAACGGTGCCTTATCTGCTGCATCGAGCAGGGTGTATAAGAGTTTGGATGCTACTGCTCAAGCCTTCCCATTTTCTCATTCCCCCTCACGCTTTTTCACTTACTGCCCCGTCGCAGCTTCACTTTTTCCCCCTATTTTCAACCTCTCATTTTTTGTCTTTCACCTTGCTTTGATAGGCTTTTACCTTTTAATTTAAACTCATGTGAACGCGGAGTGTCATTCCTGCCCTGTCGACAAGCCTATGTCCAAGCAAGCGGCCAAGCCCAGGTCATCAGCTTCCAATTGGAGCCCTCGATCATCCTTCAGATTGGCATGCCTCAACGTACGCATATTGCTTCAGCTCAGTCAACAAACAGCACTTGCTCAAAAATTAGAGACCCTCTCGATCGATATCTGCTGCTTATCGGAGACCCGCCTGCAAGACTCGAGCTCTGTGCTCACTTTGCGATCGCCTTCAGGTGACACTAGCAGCACTTTCTCATTGCGCCTATCCGGTGGCGGTACAGCTTCGAGTACCGGCCAAGCAGGTATTGGTATTGCCCTGAGTCCCCGGGCTGAAGCTACTCTGGTTGATTAAATCCAAATCAGTAGCCGGATGTGTGCGGTCCGACTGAATGGCTCGTTCAAAGCTTCGAAGTCGCGTGGGACTAACAGGTGTCTATTCGTCATAGGTGCCTACGCGCCCACAAACTGTAGTAATGACTCGGTAAAAGACGACTTTTAGCGTCAATCGAAAGAGCTCTGCCACAGACGTAGCTCGGACACTGTAGTGCTGGCTGGGGATCTGAACGCTCAAGTTGGAAAATTCTCCACTGCTGAACTGCATTTGGGCGGTCAACATGGTGTAGACTTCCGTAATGATAACGGTGAGTGGTTACTTCATTTGTGTGAAGCTACCTGCTTATTTCTTGTGAACACTAATTTCCGACTCAGCACCCATCGGAGGGTGACATGGTGCCCACCAGTCTTCAACCAGCTATGGGCACAAATCTGTCACATTGCGATAAGTCACCGCTGGGGAGGCTGCATCCAGAACTGTTGCTCGATTTGGAGCACATGTGTGGACATCGACCATGCACTTGTATGTGCTGACCTGCGGATGCGTTTTCGCGGACACCCAGGACGATATTGTGAGCGCATTGACATCAGCCAACTGGCAAAGCCAGCTGTTCTGAATGCCTATCAAAGTACGCTGTCATGCGATTTGAGTATATTTTGCGACAGTCTATGAATAGGCATTGAGCCATCGGAAACCATGGAACTCAAAACAAGGTACAGAAATAGTAAAAGAAAACACACAACACAACACATCAGAGTAAGCACTCACTGGATGCAATTGAAGCTCACTGGTCTCATATTCACCAGACCTTACTAGCAGCAGGAAAATCCTCATGTGGTAAGTCTAATCGTCAATATCGACATTGTGTCTCTTCACAGTCTCTGGAACTTATAGATGCTCGCCGACATATTCCGGCTGGAAGCGAACACAATGAAACTCGTGAATAGCTCCGGGCAAAACTTCGTGCTAGCCTAAAGAGAGACCGCGAATCCTGGTGGTCTAATCGTGCTTCAGAGATGGAAATGGCCACTGCCCTTGGTAACCATCATAAGTTATTCCCGCTGATACTGGAAATGGGCGGCAAGAGACCTGGTGTTAGTGAAACTATACGTATAGCAAAAGCTCGAGGTGCTTTTGTCAATCTCCACCACCTGTGGCGCAGACGCGACATTACTCTCGCCCTTGAAGGGCAGAGTTTACAACGCATCCGTCCGTTCAACTCTCCTATATGGCTGTGAAACCTGGCCCATCAGGTCGACAGACATAAAGAGGCTCGTCATATTCGATCATCGCTGCCTTCGCAGCTTAGCTCATGTCTGGTGGGAGCACCGCGTGAGCAATGAGCGTGTTCGACGTCGTGTATTTGGTGCAGAAAGAGCGAGTGAACCGCTCAGCACCATTATATCACGCACCAGGCTCCGATGGCTGGACCACGTGTTGCGCATGCCAGCACACCGACTCCCGCGACGTGTATTGTTTGCGCGTTGTGAGTGCGGTTGGGAGAGGAGGAGGGGAGGCCTAGTGATGACTTGGCCGAGAGAAATGAAAACCCTCACTTCGAAGTTGGCGTCGGTTGGTGCATCCCGACTGCCAGGCTGCTTGGACACACTTGCTGATATGGCTTGGAGCCGACCCCAATGGCGTTTGTGTTGTGAGTTCCTTTGTCCATCCCCCTCCTGCTTAGCATCCCACTCCAATCACGATCTCACTTGTTGGGCATAATATGACTCTTTTACGGCAGCCAGCTGTTAGCTTTGCGGAATGATGTCCATCAGTCACCGGAGACTCAGCGGGCGTGCCACTGTTTGTTTTCCTTTTCTTGTCTTTTGTATTGCGGCACAATAGCTGAGGTGTTTTCCGCCTCCAGCTAACGTGTAATGATCATGATGATGAAACTATCCGTGACGAGTGCACAGCCTATCCACAACTTGCCAAAACGCTTGGAGCGTTGGGCTGAGCACTTTGAAAGGCAATTTAATCGGTCGGATTTGTTAGGTTTCATGCCGGCCACCGATTGCCCCGCTCCTTGGGCTGTCCCTTTCTATCAGCCCTCTGGCTCGGACTGTTATAGTTAAATAAAGCCGCGGGACCAGATGATCTTCCTCCAGTCATCTTCAAGATTGGAGTACCTGCTCTTGTGGATGATGTATACGAGTTAATAGTGAAACTGTGGGAGCACAAAACTGTCCCAACCGACTGGAGCCGCTCCGTCATAGTCCCAATTTTCAAGGGATTCTCACGATCGGAATGCAGCAGCCATAGAGGAATCAGTCGGATCTCCATCGTCTCCAAAGTGCTTGCCTCCGTCATCCTTCACAGACTAACTGGCACTCCTGAAAGCCATATTCGTGAAGAACAAGCCGGGTTTCATCGAGGACGTGGCTGCATTGACCACATCTTCACTTTGCGTCAGTTGTTGGAACACCGTCACATATATTGGCGGCCCACCGTTGTCGTGTTCCTCGATATTAAAGATGCATTCGATTCGGTGGATAGACGTGCACTTTGGAACTGTCAACTCAGGAAAGGTGTACCTGAGAAATATGTAAATATTATCCGAGCATTATACGCGCGTAGCTCAGGCAGAGTGAGGGCTTACGGCAAGCCGTCGTCGTCGAGTTATATCTCCAGCGGTGTGATACAAGGATGCCTGCTATCATCTTTCCTCTTTAACTTCGCTATTGACGAAGTAATGGCAATCGCGTTCACAGGACATGGCTTAGAAGGTGTGGATCTGCTCCCAGGAAAACTTCTTGACTTGGAGTACGCAGACAACATTGCTCTCAACTGTGCAGCTCCCAGACGTGCCAAGCGGCACTGGACAGATTAGCACTGGCTGTTAGCCGCTTCGGGCTTTGCTTTGCACCCTCGAAGTGCAAAGCGTTCCTCCAAGATTGGCCTGGACCGCCTCCTACGCTGACTCTTGATGGGGATCAGCTAGAAGTCGTTAAAAAATTCAACTACCTGGGAAGTTGTATCAGCGCCCGTGCAATTGAAGATGAGATCACGAACCGTATAGCATTTTTCTGAACCTTCTCTATCTTTTGGAAACGAGTTCCTTTCAACCTAGTTTTACGTTTGGGAAACAGGCAGAAGTGCTGGCGCTAGGTCCCGAAAATATGTTGGATGAGACTGAACAATATTGTAATGTTTTGCTAGGTAGCTGCGGACAAGAAGCGATGCGTGAGCCGGGGCATCGTCTGGCGCATCCAAGTCTGGTTT